CAGAGACGTATATGGCGTCTCTACGTCACTCCTCCTCAGTCCAGATACGGCAACTTCCGTTCATTGATTGCAAAAAACAACATGGCGATGGCCGTAATCCAAGATGACGACGTCACAAACCAATGGGTGATGTCACGATGGAAAAGTGTGTCATGTGCATGTCAGAAAAATCTGAAAATGATGACGTTTTTTTCAGAACAAATCAGTACAGTTTCCCCAGACATCAAACTAGAGAGTACTGTTTTTACCAATCAGATGTTTTGTATCAAATTGGACCCCACAACTGGACCAATAAATATACAGACCCCTCAAGGGAGGCAACAAAGGAACAGAATCATTGGTTTTCATTCAGTGTGACAATAATGAACGAGTTTGGTTTTAGTGAAGAGTGAATGGAACAGATGATGCTGTCTCTCTCTCTCTCTCTGTCTGTCTGTGTGTCTATTGCTGTCTGTCTCTCTCTCTGTCTCTCTCTCTCTATCTCTCTCTCTCTGTCTCTCTCTCTCTCTGTCTGTCTGTGTGTCTATTGCTGTCTGTCTCTCTCTCTCTATCTCTCTCTCTCTGTCTCTCTCTCTTTCTGTCTCTGAAGAGGCTCTCCGACAGCATTATGCAGTTTCACTGAGTTCGCAGAAGGTTGGATGAAAACACTACAGTCTGTAATACGATTACAATAATTATCTCATATTTTTATGTTTATTTTTTTTCATTCTACTTTCCTGACAAAAGACGTCCTTGAATCAGTGAATAAATAAATGACACTCTACTCATTGTCCAAGTTCATAATCCAGTTTTCTATTACGACTCCGACAAATTCACATTTCTAGACGACTTCTCTTCAAACTGTTCAAGTCTGCTGTTCTGATCTAAAAAGACAAATGAAACATGTTGATTTGTTGTGTAACAGATGAAACGTTGTCTACCTTCATTTGATTACAACCAGTCAAGTCTCAGGACTCAATAATGGACAAATTGACGAGTTTCGATTCTTGGCAGTTATTAGATGTGTGTCCTTCTGTTGGTGTGAAGCACCAAGATAAGATTAAGATGTTGTGCACTGACATCACTGAAAGGCTTTATGAGTGGAGAAACTTCATAATCACTATAAACCGATACACATCCTCCGGCAACAGAACGAGAAGATTTTGGAATCGGAGGCGTTCAGATTTTCTGGTTTCTGTTTTTAGTCCGAGGAGTAAGACTAGAGATGATGATGACGAGCAAATCCAAGCAAAGGTCCTACCTGTTTACCTTTGCTTTTTAAAAAAGTGTTCCTTTAAATCTTGGTTGTTGTTATTCTGTGTGTTATAATTGATTGTATCGTGTGTTTCTTGTGTAATCTGTCAGCACTTTGGGTTGCCTCTTGGTACAAGATGTGCTATTTACGCGTTGGCCGAAATGTAGTCTTGGAACCTCTCGGTTATCGTCTAGCGCTGATTTAGCTTAATATTTGCAGCCTGTTCAGAGCGGGCCGAGTGCTTGGCCTGTGGTGTTGCTGCTTGCAGCTTTATCGAGACAATAAACGTAACAATCAACCTTTCGCTTCCTCGGGTCCTCAACGATTGACCTGCCATGACTTCATTGTATCACACATCCTAAGTCCGGCTACTCGTAGTCACAAACACCGGTGAAATACACGTAGCGGACGTGGAGGTATTTTGGCGGTGGTAACATTATAAGTTAGTGTGGCAGACCTGGACACACACAAACAGACACAGACAAGCAGAGAGCTCTTGGTATATAGATGTTGCCTCAGATATCCGCTGGCTCACCGGAACCCACGACATATTGTCTGGTGCCCCCAGAGGCTAAACGGCTGTCAGACTGATAGCCGGTGGGTTCTGAGATTGAATAATCTCTTGATTCTTGGTTTGAATGTGTTGAGTGTCTGAAGGAGGCGGATGCCTGAGCAGATCCCCGAGGCCAAAAAGTACCGAGGGACTCTGCATGGCTCCCACTCCAAATCTGTTTCTGCTTTTGCCAAGTGGAACTGCGTCAGTAGAACAAAGCGCACGACAGATTTGGTTGTTAGTGTTGTTTCTGTGGGCCTGGAGGCTTTGGAGGATCCTGCTCCTGGAGCTTAGGCTGGCAGACTCATCTTATGAAATATTTCTCACAGACAGGCCTTTATGTAATGTGTTTTTACAAGATTCTTTTACTCATGTTTGCTTGTTTAATAATCTGTGTTTAATTCCTCATTGCTCTTAATCTGTGATTCACAGTATAACACTTTACTCTGAGGAAATGTACAATATACATATATCTGTTTTTAAATTACTAACTCAAAGTGGCACTTTGCAGCAAAAACAATCTTAAATTCATCCATTATTGTGTGTGAGTGTGTGTGTATTTATTACATATAATTGCACATACTATAAAATTCTTGTTTTCTTTAAAACAAAAAAAAACTTATGTTTAATGCAAGAACAATTATACAAGTAGATTAATATTGAAAACAGGTTAACATGATCACCGGGCAGTGGCCGATTTTTTCAACAAAAATGACTTCATAAGAAGGATATTTTAGCGGTGCAAATGTTTAGTTATGCCATTTTCAGTATACATCCAAATATATGATCGTTATTCGTCTTCTTTGTTGCTTCAGAGAACTAATAATATTGTTTTTGTGTTTCTCCCCCACAGGAGAGACTGGTGTTATCAGTCCTGCCACGTTTTGTAGTTTTAGAAATGATCAACGACATGACAAATGTAGAGGACGAACACCTCCAGCAGCAGTTTCACAGAATCTACATCCACCGCTACGAGAATGTCAGGTGAGCTAGTCGGGTTGTGATCTACGGGGGAGGGGAGGAAGTCTGTGAGACCTTTCAGAGCATTCCAGTTGTGTTTATAAGACATGTTGTGTTTCTCAGAAGTGAGGCTGTGAGTCCACACCAGAGAATAATAGACAGATAAATAGCTTGACATTCACAGCTGCAGTAAAGACTGATTGGCTGGCAAGAGTCTCTTAAAATGATCCATATATTGACAACATAGAAAATCAGTGCCAACTACAATCACAGGTGTTTCCAGGTGAGAGGTTGATGACATCTCCGCCTACAGCGGTGCTTCTCAAACGTTTTCTGTCACGCCCCACTTTGGAGGAAGACACATGTTCATGCCCCACCGCCCCAACACAATAGGAACAAAATGGTCCATGTTGAACTTTGTGACTCCTCCATCTGTGCTTTTTCAAATAATAGAATAAAGAAAATTGCAATCACTTTCAAGTAAAGCAGATTGCTCCATCAGACAAAAACAAACACAATGTGCAATCACTTTGTTAGAACAATGCAAATAAAGTTCTATCTGTGCAGAACATAACTAATATTTGTCAAAGAATAACTTATTGTGGCTGCAATTCACCTGTTTTTTACTGAATATCTTTTCAAGATAATAACAATAAAGTGCAACCTGTGAAAAACTAAACAAAACAAGTTCAAATATTTGGCAATAAAGAGTCAATTAAGTGTACTTGAGTGAATTAGTTTGAGACTTGTTAGAAAGGAAAGTTTCTCATGTGTTCAAGACTGTAACGTAAAAACAGGACTTCATGTTGACAGTTATGTTTCAGTAGCTTAACGGAATACTTCACCACAAAATGACCGTTTGTGTATCCGTTACCCGCCCCGTGTTTCTCTCTCATGTTTCCACGGTAAACAGAGAGTCCAAAATTAATTGAAAATAATACATACATAAGGAATAAATAAAACTATTTGTATAGGGGCAAGTAAGCAGCAAGTATATTTCTACCCCACGGACCGAGCACATGAAAAAGAACAACGTTAAACCTGAACAAAAGATTAATAGAGTTGTGCTTCTTCTAAACATGGCCCTCATTTACTGAAATGAATCAAGACTTTTCTCAGTTTTTAATTCCACGTTCACCATCTTCAAGAGTTCACGGTAACATACGAGGATGTATTATGGTCATTCTGAGGTCGAAGTATTCCTTTAAATATTATATTTGGATGGTTTTAAAGCACTGACCTGGATATTAAAGTGACATTTCCGACTTTTATTCAGCATTCTTTTCGCAGATGTTAAAGGCTTCACGAACCTCTCCACGACGCTGTCAGCGCAGGAGCTGGTGCGAATGTTGAATGAACTCTTTGCACGCTTCGACCGCCTCGCACACGTAAGTGATGTAGCTTTAAGACATCACGTCCATGTGTCAGTTCTACTTCTTTCATTGCTCATTTTTGTCCTATAAGTTTTCAACCACAAACACACACTCAGGCTTTAGAGCTACATTACAGCTGTTGTCAGTTTAAACTCATTGTTCCATTTAGTTTGGAGCAAAATGTATTCATGGGTGAACCAACAAGTCCTCACAGTGAATAGTTCTATCACGATAATAACGTTTTTCACGTATTGTACGATATATGGACACAATCTTAATAATTTTCACTTCATCCACTTATCGTACATTTATGGACAAAACCTCCATTTTTATTGTATGTTGTGTAAATATCACACCATATATGGACATGAACTCTTGTGGGGTTTATTCTTCTTATCACACCATATATGGACATGACCTCTTGTGGGGTTTATTCTTCTTATCACACCATATATGGGCGTGACCTGGATATTGCCTGTTGAGTTTACATAAGAATGTCAACATTTGAACCAACATGAAGCCAGAATAAACAGCACGGTCATTGGAGTCCTCAATTGTTTTTATTTATTTATGGTTTTACTTATTTATTTACATTCCAATTCCAACATCTGAATATTTTTCTAAGAATTAAAAGGTGATTAGTCTTTGAAAGAATTTACTTGCATTATTATGCTTTTGTGTTTTCATTATATCAGCGGCATAAAGTGGTCTTATCTTTTATCACAGTTATTTCTATAATCTATCGTTCAACAGAAGTAGTTAGCGTGACATGTGTGTCTTCCACAACGACCGTAGTCTTTCCAAATATGACTCCGATGACCATTTTGTGATCTGTGTTCAGGGTTTGGGTCAAGATTAGGCAACTAAAACTACTCAGCTCAGGTTTGGGAAATATTGTCTTTATTGTGAATTGCAGTCTCTGGTCTCTGTATTAAATACTGTATTTTTAACTCATGCATTTAAATAACTGTTTTCCAAGACCTTCAAGTACCCAAGATTAAAGTATCAGCTAAAGATACAACATGTAGGATCTGTTCTCATGTAATGTTTGAATTGTGTTTCATCTTAAGAAGTGTGGCATCTTAACTATCTCATAAAGTTTGCTTCTACGTCTTGTCAAAAATAAGTCATGACAGCACTTTTCCCCCTGATGGGGTTTTCTATCTTTCTGAAGGCCTTTCAGGACTTCCACCGCTCGTGAAAGCTAAATAAAGAAATTGCATCAGCCAGATGAATATTTCATTCAAACAACAGAGCGAATAATTGATTCAACATTCAACTCTGTCCGACTGTTGGTCTGATATTAGACTGAGGAGCGTTTCAGACTGTCGTGCTTGGCCGAGCAGTATCTCACAGTTAATGCAGAACAAACACAAATTGGAATTTGTTAGTTGCCACTTCTCTGTGTTTCTATTTTCCATCATGAATGTCATATCTCATGTCTCGTGGTCTTCTGTTGTGAGGTTAACTATATATTGATTTATTGCACGCTGTGTTTTTTAACAATTGCTGCCAGAGATGCACTGATGTGACTGGTCTGTTGCAGGAGAACCACTGTCTACGTATAAAGATCCTGGGAGACTGTTACTACTGTGTGTCGGGTCTACCTGAGCCCAGACAGGACCACGCCCACTGCTGTGTGGAGATGGGCCTCAGCATGATCAAGACCATCAGGTACCGTCCTCCTCCATAGTGTTGCCGTGGTTGTTAATATCTTTTACCGTAGGGATGGAGACTCTGGTGGGTCCAACGCTTCCCTGCAGACTCAAACACGTCAACGATTGTTGGGTCTTTAGTTTGTTTGTAATTTGTAAAGTCCTCTTTGTTTGACCGATCCATCCACCTCGACCTCCTCCCTACGCGAACCTCAGCTGACCAGGAATGGAAACGTTATTATCAGGAGACAGACTGCTCTATGTCACCGACTGCTGACCGTGTTTATAAGCCAATCAGAAGCCACGACATGAACTAACGTCCTGCTGTTCCTGTTGCATGTCTCTTTCACCTCATACTCGCCCAACGTATGAAACATGGTACAACGTTTTGTTTTCCAATTAATGTATCTGTGAAGATTACACATTATAATAGACAAAGCCTTATTTAACTTCTGTTTCAGCTGCAGTTCTCTCAGAGTTTAGAGGACACTGTTTTCCTGCTACCCTGAACAAATGGTCTTAATATGTAACTTTCCCCCTCGAGCTATTGGACGGCAGTGCTTTTATCCGTACACTTTTTTTATCTCATTTCCTCACAGCGCTCGGTATGCCAGGTCTGTGATCTGAAAGCAGCTCCCCTGCAGGATTTGCATTTTTCAAGAATTTGGCCCCCGGCTGTGTTTCTGCAGAACATCAGTCACAAACAATCTGTAGAGTCACAAGGTTCACCCTCATCACGTAACAATCATGGAGACGCGAGGGAAACAAATATTTTCAGTGATGGTGTCATATTTTAGAAATTACACAGCAGGGATTTACAGATCTCATAAGCTCATGAATCAGGGCACATGACTGACTTCAGTTCATGTGGGAGAGGAGGTACGCAGCAGAAATGAAGGTACAGCTGACCCTGGAGTTTGTGCTCTTACAGCCTGAGGGCGTTTTCATTTCGATTATCTGCTTTGTTGTATTTTGGTGCCGTTGCATCACTTTCAGCATGACATTGATGGAGGAGAGGAGGACTGATCTTTAGAGGGAAAGGAGGGATTAGTGATGGATAAGCTGTGAGATTTGTACTGTACACTATTAAGTCAATATGGTGAGCTGCTTACAGGCGACCACTTTGTGCTGCAGAAGTGCAGCTTGGTACATTTTCTTCTACAGTATATCTGCTGTAACGTCTGCAGGTGGCAACAGACGTCTGCAGGTGTTCATAAGAATGCTGTGCTGGTGTTGGTGTACCGGTGACAAGATCACATTTGAATAACAGATGCATGAATCTGCAGGTTCATCAGATGTCCGAAACGCTGCAGACGGACAGAAGTTATAACTACACCTATGATTGGACCCGGTGTCTGCAGCTTGTGAGCTACACCTAAAGGATTGGATGAAGCTACTCACCGTATGAAATGATCTTTGTGGACGCAGAGTGTTGGTGACCTACATCTATCAAAAGATGTGTTTCTTTTCAGTTGTGGACAGAACTTTTAAAATGTCGCAAAAAAAAAGGCAAATGATAATAAGCATTTTGTTGCGTGATCAGTTAGTAGAGCTAGTTGAGTTCGGTCTCCGAGTGGATCATCATTTTGTATTCTTTTGACGATGACATTCCTGTTTACAAGAATGTGAGCTAATAACGACGGTGAACAAAAAAACTAACAAAGAGGTCTATTGCCTCATTCATCCACACCACTAATGCATAACAAGGTGCAATGTTCCTCTTCAAATCCCTGAGGTCAAACATGAGTACCGAGCAGGTGAGACATGTTGCACTGTTGTTTGATCTCCTTCTCCATATTTACACCACTTTATTCCCCTTGATGTTTAGAGTTTCCTTGTTGGGACTCAGTGAAAGCTGATAAAAGTGCAGACTCGTGGTTTTGGGTGGAAAATGTATGGCATATCATTTTTCTGCCATGCTTGTGGTCTAAGGATGGCAATGGTGGGTCAGTCAGGTGATCCCCTGACTTCTCCTGTAGAACCATCAGCAGGTTGACATTTGTGGTATTGAGTGAAGTGTCTCACTATCGGATGGATTGCTATGGAATGCGATGCAGACATGCATTTCTCACACGAGAGATTGTCCCTTAGATTTTCATATACAACATCATCCTGTCAAAGTTTAATTTCAACAGCGTCAGCAGCACTTTGTGTGAAGTGCTAATTAGCTTATGTTAGCATGCTAACACGCTTCACTGAGATTGTGAACGTGGTTGGCCTCACCCCTCCAGGGTGTCCCGTTTTGGGGGTCGAGATATACGTTTCCAAAACGTTACGTTTCTACGTAAAAACTTGTGGAGCTAACATCAGCAGAGTAAGTTAGCGCATCATGAACTAGTGTTAGCACTTCTTTGTTACGCTAGCTACTGAAGGTAAAGTGAATGTATTGTGATGATTGTCATAGTGAATAAAGAGGAAGTGTGCTGTTCCTTCATTTCACTTTTACTCTGCGATCTGTAGCTTTAGCTTCTGTCTTTATCTGTTTAACTTGTTTCCACTGATGAATCCGTTTGAAATCCTGGATTTATCCTTCAAACACATATTGTAGACCTTTCTGTCTGCTTCTCTTAAATCACATTTAATTTTTCCAAATAATACGATAACATTTCTTCAGGGAGTCCAGTTAGTGACAGTGTGGGCTCCATGGTAACGTAGCTCTGACAGCTTGATAGAGTAGCAGCGAGGGGCGGAGCTTAGTGAGGGGTGATAGTGATTCTTATCCGGTCAATGAAGAGCCTCATACGTAGTTAGTGTTGGTTGTGGTGCTGACCTCTGACCTCCACGGGGAGGTGACAAACTTCCCCGCTGAGTTAATTAAGTATCATCATCATTATCTTCGTCATGACTAACTGCAGTTTGTCTGACTTAATTGCTAGCCTCTGGTGTCGTCGGCAGTCGACTGACTTCAAGCACCTGTCACAAACTCCCAGGATGCATTTCACCTCGCATTCATGCTTCTTTTATGAAGCATGAAATGAGGCCGCGAGGCGGGGATGGGCGTGACAGCCCCTATTTGCTCTTCACAGACTTTTATCAGCTCCAGTTCATTCTGCTTTTAGTGTGTTCGGGGATAATAACGTATGAAATGAGAAACAAATGTATTAATGAGTGTGAGAAGCCTGCTGAAAATGTTTTCCACCTGTTTGTGTCGGGCTCGCTGATACGCGTGAAATGTGTCGTGCTCATTTCTTGGTGAATTAATGAACAATGTTTTTCCGTCAGTGCTATCTGTGTTCTGTTTCTGCAAAGGTCAACTTTCATGGATATTCATTTGCTGAATTAATGCACAGTGACCTAAAGTTACCCGTGGAACAGACCGAACATCTGCCCAAAGAGACAAACTAAATACATACATTTATTATACTGTACTAAAATATACATGCTCATTATTAAATATTAATTTTCACGTTCATACATCATTACTTTAACAATTTAAAGATGAATTTGAATTACAAGATTAAACCCTATTATTAGTTGTATTCAATTTAAAAGGACCACATCATGTCTTTGCATGTTTTATACCAATTATGACTAATTTATAATGAATTATCAATCATAATGAAGCTGCAGAAAGAGCAGGTTGGCTATTAATCGGAGGGTTGGTAGTTCATCTTCTTGTCCAGCTGTCCTTGAGCAAGGCACTAAACCTAAGTCAAAATGTAATGTTTGTTGTAAGAAAGACAGCTTGATCCTTCTGATGTTGATTTCTTTTCTTTCTTCCAGATATGTGAGATCCCGTACGAAACACGACATCGACATGCGTATCGGGATCCACTCGGGCTCCGTGCTGTGCGGTGTGTTGGGACTCAGGAAGTGGCAGTTTGACGTCTGGTCCTGGGACGTGGACATCGCCAACAAGCTGGAGTCTGGAGGGATCCCAGGGTGAGAAAACCCAAAAGATTTAAGACTTTCAGAGCGGGGTGTTTAACCTTTAAACAGAAAGGAAACACGGTAAGAGAGATGAATCTGATGAAAATGATACGCAGAAAAGGTGCACGGTCAGCATTGCACCACAGACGTTTTGGTTGTGGTGACGGTCATGTCTAGATGGTCAATGCCTAACCTTAACCATTGTAGTTCAATGCCCAACCTTAACCATTAGAAGTAAGTGCCTAACCACCACCCTTTAGCATGAGTTTGGCAACTTTTGGGTAACCTATGGTGACACCCCCGATTCCATATTTCTTAAAAAACAGGCTAATAACAGGCTAATAACGATACAGGTTTCAAATGGTTGTTGGGTAAAGGAATGTAGGGTAAGGGTTAAAGGGATGAAGGGAAGGGATAAAGGGATAAGGGTCATGGGATGAAGGGATGAGGGTTCTAGGATGTAGGATAAGTAATGAATGATGAGCCGTGATGGACCGCTGACGTCTGGTGACTGGTGGGAACTGGGGGAGTGGAGACTCTTCAGGTTCCTGTAATCATGTGAGAGGTAGAGATAAAGAGGGAGGAAGAAATATAGAAAGATAAAGAGGTTGGGGGGAGGGATGTTGAAGCTGAGTCAAGAGGAACTCAATGGGTCAGTTGTGCGTAAATACTTTGTGCGGAGGAAATGAGATATGTTCAGGGCGTGGTCGTTGTTCCTATACTACGTTTATTAAACATTTTGTGATGTCTTACCATGTGTGTGCACGTTTGGTGTTTTGGCCAGAGACAATGTATTTCTGACCGTGCGGTCCAATCTCGTGATTACGATATCTCCGCAAAGTTCTTGGGGAAATTCAAATTTGGCACCAACATCCACCTGGACTCAAGGATGAACTGGTTAGAATTTGGTGGTAAAAAGTCACTGTGACCTCACAAAACACATTTTGGGCCATAACTCAAGAATTCATATGATTATTATGACAATTTCACACAAATGTGTGACAGGATAAAATGATGGAGTGATGAGATTTTGGACAGACATGAATAACCTGCAACCTGACTGGTTGGCTGGAAGCATACAACTGAGAGGCGGTATTTCTAGTTCTTTGTTGACTAAGTGAGGTTAAGGCAATAAAACTACTTGGTTAGGTTAAGATGATGGTTTGGGTTAAAATAGCTACGGAAGCGGTGTTACTTCAGTGTGTAAATTATGTGACGAATACATTTACAATGACTTGTCGTTTCACACGGCGTATAAACAGCGATCTCCCGGGGGAAAGCCCGTTTTTTGTTTGACCCATCGACCAACTGCCCCGTGTGGGTTTTATGCTGTTTTTAAACGTCCTGGTTCATGATTACGTGGATCTTTCGTATTGACACATTCTCCCCGACTCTGCAGCTCTACGAAGCTTTTTAGCCTCTTTTAACTCTCAGTTTTGTGGCAGAAGTTCCTTTCAGTTCAGCTAGAGATGAGCTGTTTCCTAACATGTTAGTCAGCTTGTTGTGGAGTTCTTCTGCCCCCTAGTGGCCAAAATAATTCACGTATTGCAGCTTTAAAGCAAGATTTTAAAATGTGCCCGAATAACTCTGACTGAAATCTTCCCGTCATGGTTTTCCAGGAGGGTTCACATCTCCAAAGCAGCTCTGGACTGTTTGAACAGCGACTACGAGGTGGAGGAGGGCCACGGGAAGGACCGCAACGACTTCCTCCGCCGCCACAACATCGAGTCCTACCTTATCAAGCAGCCGGATGAGAGCACACTCAGCCTGCCGGAGGACATCATGAAGGAGTCGGCCAGTTCGGTCGACCGCCGGGCCAGCAGCACCACCTTCAACGAGGCGTCCTGGAGCCCAGAGCTTCCCTTCGACAACATTGTCGGGAAGCAGAACGTAAGTCCCGCCGCTGCTCGTAATTCAAGTCATGTAGTGCACTTCATCACACTGTGAAGAAAATGTCTATCTCAACAGAAAACTTGTTCTGCAATTGTGGATTAAACTGTTATATATATTGTGGGGGTAAAAAAACAGGATTTTCTAGAAATATGGTGTTAAAATGTGACTTCTCCCGGGACATTTGAGCTGTTTGTCAAGTAAAATAATCTTATTTTGTCGACTTTAAGCCTCACTGCAGGATGATCTTGAGATGGATGTTTTTTTGCAGTGCATGTGATCAGTTATCTCGCCTGTTTGTTGGTTGTTTTGCCTTTCTTGTTGTTGTTTTGTTCCTGGGAATGAGTGGACGGCTTTCTGCGGAGAGATTGTGTTTCTGTGGTAACGCGTCGCTGTGTGTCTGTGAGGAAGATGAGCTTCTGATCGTGTGGCAACATTAAAACAGCCTCTTCATCCCCTCTTCATTTGTCTGCGTTCCCGTTTGCCTTTGACAACAAATCAGCTCCCGGAGGCGTCACGTTGACATTTTGGGTGTTTTGTCTGAGATGGTTGGTTTTTGGAGAAAGCACTTCAGGCTTCTTTATAGAGGGAGGGAGAAGCCCGTTCATTATACCCGCCATTAAGCCGCCAGAAAACTCTGAATCCATTCTTTGAAACATTGAGTCATTTCTTAAAGTCTAGCCTGCCGGCTTTTTTTTTTTTTGATTTAATGCTCACATACAATAACGTGTGAAGCAAAGGATGTGAATGTGGGATCTGTAAAGTGGAGACTCAAACATCCCCAACCATGTCTAATTACCTATGTGCACATAAAGGCAAATGTTGTGATGGTTCATACCAGAGAAACTGAACTTTTAAAGAGAGTCTTTGTGCTGCGTTTGGCCCGAAGATTCTTGCATTGACCCGCGACTGAAAGTGACAGTGAAAGCATTGATTAGTCCTCACTATGTGTCCTCTGCTGCTACTTTGACTCGTGGTTTAATGGTTAATTTCTGGGTTCTTTCATGTTCTGCATTCCTTGTACATGTGGCCCCTCGTGGGAATAATGGTTTTAAAGGGAGAGCTTTCTATGCAGATGATGTTGAATTGGGCTAAAACTATATCGATGAATCATCGGTCATGTGTTCTGAAGGGCATCTGTGCCGCTACCCATCGTTTTCACAATGTTAAGGAAGTCCTTGATTCTGTCTTTTCATTCATTAAAAATCAAATATAGTTGTGACTTCTGACATCACGGGAAGTTTTTACATTGTTCCTGTTTTTTGCATCTGATGAACATTGCTACTCTTAGGCTCAGGATGCAGATGATTGCTCCCTTACGTCACTTGTCTCAGTGAGACATCCCTGGATCACAAGAGGAGGACATAGTCTTCTTTCACATGAATTGCCACACTGGGTTGAAGACTAGTGGATTTCTTTTATCTCTCCGAATAAAATGGGAAGTGTCTTTGAGCGAGACATTGAAGCACACCTCATCACAGTAGCCCACACCTCCTAAAATACCTGACATGGGTCAAATTTCATGGATGTATTTGTGTAATAAAGTGTGAGTTACGGTCCGTAGAATAATAGTAATATAAAACAGTCTTGCCTCATTACAGTAAAAACATTTGTATTGGCATTGTCCTCTCTAATATCTATTTTACGTTGCTGTGAAAACATCTCCCTCAAACAATTATATTTGTTCAAGTTTCTTGGCAAACACAGCGCTTTAATTGACCTTCGCCTGATGCTCATTTTTCCTGTATGGAGCTTGAACCTATCATATGTGTAACTCAATGCAGCCTCCGTTAACGTAAGTACCGTGACGAATAGATCGACATAGAGTTCACATGGGGAACCAGCAGCAGTCTGCTAGATGAGAGGTTGGTGTTTATTGGACCCATCCACCCTGTGTGGGCTTTTGTGGTCTTTAGACTTCCTCCTTCTGGATTACGTGGATAACGTAGGAAATCATTTTGTGGGGTATCTACGAATTACGGCGCATTATTTTCTTGTATGTATAGCTACAAATTCTGAACGAGACTGGCCTGGACAAATGCCGGTTCAGCAGGTTTTCATCAATTCAAACTAGTCAATGTAAGCTAGTACACCAGACCGGACCTCCAATACGGACATTGACCCCAACTCTGATCTTGAAGGGTTATGTGTAAATAGATTTATTACTTTATTACATGGAGAACAGAATCGATGGATGAAAACCCAACAAGACCCAAAGCTGGCAAAGATCAGGACGTTCTCCATGACGCAGATCTGGTTCAGGGTTTATTCACGCTCCTGGGATTCGTTCCAGACAAACTTTGGTCCCAAGCCCACACAGACTCTACATGGAGGTATCTGCTGCCCCCCCCCCCACACACACACTCCCGCTCAGTTATGTCATCACACATAACGGGGGGGCTAACGCTGAATATTCAGGCCACATTTGCATCCCCAGATTGGACCGAGGGGACGAGCTGTTGCGTCCTGCCCCTGATGGCGGACGCCGAGTGCCAAAAGCAAAACACGCCGCCTGGCTGAGGACTAAATGTTCCTCCTCCAGAAGCAAAACCGGTGACTTTTCTACAACCTGCTGCTTCTCTTCCGGGCTGGTTTAACGTCACCACGGCACATCAGGAACATCCACTGCAGGGAGCGAGATCAATTAGCTCCGGAATATCATGTCAGATACGTTGGCAGGTGGTCATAAAGCCCTGGGTTGTGTACTGGAGATGTTCATTTAGATATGAGAGTGAGTGAATCCTTGTACACTCAAAGATCTGGAGCGGTAGCCTTCAGTGAATTTATTTCTGATATCACAGTGTACGTGCCATATGGATACTGAGCTTGTGAAACACTGAACAATGCAGTGTAATGCATGCTTTCGGGAGAATATTGGAAGAGTTTATAGTGAGTCAATTAATCAGCATTTATCTTGTTTACCAAGTTAATTCAATACAAACACAAATACTCCAACCCGCAGTTGATGTAATCGTGCTTATGGATTCAGAGGAATGTTTTTTTTTCTTTGTGACAAGTGGCACTTCTTTGTTTCAGGCACAATGAAAGCCTGTCAGCTCCGTCATTCCAAAGATCGTCTCTTTGCATATCCAAGGACTCTCGGGGGAGGTTTGAATTGTCTTTTATGTCGTCTGCTCGAGCTGAACTTCTCCCTCTTCTGTTGTTATTCCGTCCTCCGGGTCCCTGTCCTCCCGTCCTGTTAGTCTGATTCAGTTTTCAGCGTCACTGGAATCGAGGTAGAATATTAGGCTGCGTCAGTCAGACGGAGAGGAAGTGAGAAGGGGGAAAGAGAGGGAGAGCGAGTATTTTATTTTTGTTCAATTATGAAATGGAGTGTCACTGCAGTAGATCCCAAAAAGCACTGCGTGGTCTGCAACTGTGAATGACATTTACCTCCGTGTAGACAACTTTTCATTAGCCACGGGCGAAGTAACCACTAGTGCTGCTTTGTACATCTTGTGGACGTCCCAGAAACGCCGTTGTGTCGATGCTTCATAACATCCTCTGTTAGCGCTCTGTGATTTTCACCAGCCGGTATTCACTGCATGTAGCAATTGCAATAAACGGTTTTAAAAACGTCTCCAATTTTTCCAATTTCTAAATTTCTACGAAAGCGACCCGGCGGGAATTGGCATCTTTTTTCGTCTTTGCATTGACTTTGTGTGCAACCTCGCCTTCGCTAAAAGTTTGCATTGTGTTTGGCGTGAACACAACATAAACACACACGCTTAACTTCCATTTTATAAAATGTATGAAATGAAGCGTGAATCATTGCAACCACCAGAGCTCCTTGAGCATTCAAACAATGAGCACAAACAAAAATGTGGCTGATGGATCCATCAGTATTGTGAGGTCAGCTGTGGAAAGACAGAGAGATGCACACATACGCCCGGATACATAATCTCCTGGCGGAGAGGATAATAAATGAATCGTCCATGAAACAAGAATGACATGTTATGGTGAAGATAACCCTTTGTTTCACTAAATGTTCTATTAATTTATTCTATAGCACAGAGAAAAACAGAAAAGCACTTAAGAAGTGGGAGAATGTTTGGCATCTTTGATCATAGATGATCACCGTTTATTGACACGGAGTTAATCCATTAAGTGTAAACAGCTGGTTGCAGACATATGATACAGAGTAATGACAGGTGATCCATCAGGTGGCTGCATGAATCACCTGTAACCAGGTAACAGCTCTGATAAACCGCCATAAATAACAGTATTTAGTATCTGAGGCCAACCACTATCTCTGTTTATTGTGAAGTCCACTGGTAGTCGTTGGACGAATGGCCTTCTATCCTGTCCGTCACTGCGTTTGTGGGAACGGTCATCCATCCACGACTGATTGTCACTATCAAACCCAGAAGATTCACGAGGCGCCGGGTCTCAAGTCATGGAAGACGAGCCCTGAGAAGTGAGAACAGACTGGCTGAGCGGCTCTGTCTTTACCTCTTTCACGCTCCGCTGTGTGCCTGCTGGCTCCCATGATGCACGGCGCTGTCACAGTGCTTTTGACCTCAAAAAGGATGTTTGTGTGTTTCCTCAGAAGACCCGGTTATTCTGTGTCTGTGTGCTGTGAAATCTAGGCCAACTCATCTGCTCACGTTTCTGTTCTCTTGTCTGAGTTGCTGCTGCTTTATGAGACGTCTGCTGGAGAAAACCTGTTCAATGTTTAAATGTCTGGAGCACATGGCAGCTCCCCCCGACACTATTTCCCTCTGCCTCCGTTTGCCCGATCACATAAAAGATGGATCACAACGAAGGCCACAACACTAATCAACGTATCCTCGTACAACAGTTGGTATGATATTAAGTTACTCCTCATTTGTTTTCCTGCAAAAGTCCAGCAACGCGAGTCAATTACTACATTATTACAATTTACTACTTCTTTTTAGGGTTTTTATCATTATAATAATGAAACTTTGATCCTATTATCTTTATTGGCTTATTATCTGACCTTCATTGAATGAATCCAGGCTGTTCTCATCCAGCGATCG